AGAGAATTTTTTACTTCTCTCAATCAACATACATTAGATTTTAACAGGAGTAAGCAAGAGCATTACTAGTTGAGCATTCCAAAGTTAGTTCTTTCTTTCAGTTTTTGTTCTGCTCACAATGTTGACCTTTCCCTGTGCTGTTGTTTTCATATCTTTCATTTTATAGAAGTGTTTTAAAGGCTTTCGTGGTATCTATTTCTGTTTCTTTCCTCCAATTCGAACGTATATTATGGTTGGATTGAGAAAAGTGTAATACAATCTGATAAAAATTAAGCAGTAAATTGTTACTATTAAACATAAGAAACTTCGTCTTATATTTGTATAAGATTTTAAAGAGTAACATTTGTGTTTTTAATTTATTATACTTACTAGTGAAATTATAAATTGATTCAGTGATAATATTTTTGGGAAGGAATTAAATTGGCAGAAGGCATCAGGAATATTAAAATAAATTTCATGTTCAAATGCATAATTCTAAAGCAATCACTTTGTATGCAAAAACTAGGTGAAGAAGAAATAATTGGTAAAAAAATTAAAGTGCAAACAAACTCTTGATGAACTTTAGTCAACAACAACAAAAAAATAGGGAAACATCTTAAGTAATTGAGACATCAGCAGCCATTAAAACCTATGTGGGGAAAAATTAATGGCATAGAAAAATATTGATGATATATCAACTTTTACATTGTAAAAAATTGCATAGAAAAGCCTTCGAAGAAAATACAACCAAATTCAAAAAGAGGTGGCTCATTGGTGTTCTGCTTCTTTATCCTTTTAGGTATTTGTCACATTTATTTTGCAATATCTATATGTTACATTATCAGATATAAATTTAAAATCTAATTCATATCAAGGACATTGCTCATTTCAATATTTTATAGCACTTCATGAGTTAAGCAAAGTAGGGAGAATAATTTTCCATTTTACAGTTGTGAAGACTAGGTAATTTCTTAATTGGAGGAGCTTGAAATAAAACCAGATCCTCGAAGGCTAGCTTCGATGCTTCTTCTATGATCACACTAGAATGATAGAGGAGATAATATATGTGAACATTCCATGAGTTTTTCACAATTATAATCAGAGATACTAATGATGTTACTTGATTTATTTGATCTTCATAAACTCCTAATTCTAACTGAGTGAAAAATAAATGCATGAAATAAAGTGAATGCTAATAAAAAGGAATATAAGATTAGGTATAATAGGTCTGAAATAAAAACCAATAATATTTACATTTGATTTATTACTATATCAGAATTTAAAGAACATCTAAAACTCTTTTGTTTTACTTTAGAAGTATACTCAATATGGCACTTGAAGTAAAAGTGAAGGCAGTCATATTAAAAATATTAATGATGATTAAATGTAAAAAAGTCCATAAGGTAAGATGTGAAGGGTAAAAAAAGTTAAATTCACTTGGAAATTACCAATAGGTTTTTAATTTTAAAAATCTATTTTAATCAGTGTGAAATTAAAGTGGAAATGAATATCTTTATAATTATTTGAGGTTCACTTACAGGGCATAATTAAGAGACTAAAGCAATCAATAAGACTTAAGCCAGGCTCATTTCTAGAGGTCCACACCACTTTAGTTGTAGACATAATTATTCCTGTACATCCACACTTGGACCATTTACACTAGACTCTTTCCCTCATCCAGCATACCTGTGGCCAGTGCCAGACAGTGAGCAACTTGACAGCATAGGTTGCCTTATCCATGTTCGTATGTGAGGAACTTAGCACAGTGCCTAACAGTTTGTATGCATGGAATACAAATAGAACAGTTTGTATGTTTATTTTTGTATGGAATCAAACTTATTTCAATAGCCTAAACCAAATCACCTTCCATTTGCATGTGTTAGGAAAAAATGCATAACTCATCCCCAAATTAATTAAATGATCTAGAGTATTATTTGCATTATCAGGTAACTTTGCTACTAGTTGCCTATTCCATTAGGTAATGTATATGCATAGTTATACAGGCATGATATGCTTGATAAGTTTCAAACTGAGCCATTTCCCAGGCAGTAGCCTCTAAGACCAGCGTCAAAACTTTAAAAGATTATAGTCAAATAAAGATAATTATATAAAGTGGATTTGTTGCAATAAATATATTTTCCCTCTTTTCTGAAGACACAGGTGCAGATAAATATTTCTTCAATTTCAAGAATGATGACAAATACCAAATGACCCTCAGCCTCAGAGTCAGGAACATAATTAGAAGAAGTTGTGGAGATTGGGATAAGTTTTCATGCCATTTCCACATGGGCAGTTTCTACTAAACTCCACCTGATGGTGCCAGGTTAAGAATCCTGGTCCATTGTAGTAAGACCTTCTGACTTATTAGTAGATGGAAATACAGATTTTTATTTAAAATATCTCATTTTTAAAGTGTTGGTAATTTTTGAAAATGTAAAACACTATGTATGCCAAATAAAACACTTCTATAGAGAATATTTGGCACAAAAGCTCCTAGTTTATGACCTCTAGTTTAAAAGGTACTATTTGTTGCACACATAATTGAAATATTCTTGAAAAGTCATATAATTCGATTATTAAATGTCAAGGGAAGTTTACTGATTAAAGAAAACGATATATTCACAATTATGTATATTATTCCATAGTTATAATATGAACATTAACAAGTATTTCACAAACTCCATTTATTATGAAAATGAAAATACCAAAGCCTAGAAGTTGGCAATAGAAAAATAAGAATCACCATGTTAAGCTTTACTTTAGATGTAGTATAACTGATTTAGGTCACAAGTTCAACCTGGCTTTCAACATAAGCAGTTGCATGATTGTATTTCTAAATGATGACTAGCCATTTATGGTGACTACAAGGTTCTTTTATAACTGACATTTTAAATAAAGCATTCCACTAAGAAAACTAAAATTTCAGCTTCATTTTCATCACTTTAGCTATTCAGAATTCTGTTAATCAAGTAGGAAAAAAATTATCTTCAACATCTAGAATGATTTATCTGTTTGTATGACTGTGAGAAAAATGATCACGGCTTCAAGCAATAGATTACAAGTAGAAGGAACGTTCACATTACAGCTATGCTGATGAAAATTACCTGCAGGCTGTTACAACCGAGCCCATGAATTAATTAACCTTTTGCCACAAAAATCTAGCAAACTTCAGCAAAGACTGAGGTTTCTTTGTTTCTCTCGCTTCAGCTTCCTCAGAGTGTTAGAAAATAAAATGATGTGCGGTTACTGAAGCAAACAAAATATACCGAGATTTTATCAGTTCTCATGCTACTGTAATACAACCACATAAATTATGGTTAAAATATAGCAAGTTAGATGATTCATCTTTTGTTTTAGTTAATGAAAGATGAGTAATAATGATTGATTTCTACATAGATCTTTATTTTATGAATGAGATCAGTAATTTCTTACTATGACTGTTGGCTACCTCTTAGTTATCTTCTATTTGACTCTGTGAGAACATAAATAAAGCATGTCTTTTGCCAATGAGTATAAACATGCCTTCTTATAAACAGCATTTTCAAATGAACGAAAACATTATCTATATGTAAGTGTATTGGTCAAGCATTCTGATAGTTTTCAAATGGGATCTAAAGTTTAAATATCAGCTAACACTAAATGAAAACAATTTGGGAAAACAGAATATCTAATAAATGATGGTAACATGAGCCACTATATTTTCCCAGTTTGTTAAAGGTTAAGTATCAATAAGACTTGGTGAATTTGAAGATTATACAAGACTTAAGACTACTAAGTTACATTTTAAATACTGACATGATAACTTACATGACTTTATACAAATGTTAGAAGTCACATTTTATTTTTCTCTTTGATGTAATAGATCTCCTTTAGAAGTTAACATCTCTAATATTTAATTATTCAATAACAAATAACTTTAGTCACTCTCTTCCATTAGCCAATTTTTAGAGTTTAATTTTAATTAATTCATTATATAATTAAGTAGGTGACAATAGATAAGTCATCCCTTCAGTAGGTTACCAGACATTCTTGTTCAGATCATGGATTTTACATACAGTAAGTCTTCACTTAATGCTATTGTGACTTTAAGTGAAATGACAAACAAAAGGTCCTCAAGTAACATCCTTCAGTTCAATGTCCCTCCATTATAAAATTGATGACAGTGTTTTTTGTTATTTTGTTTAAAGTTGCAGTTTCCAAGAACCCGTTTACAATGCTAAGTGAGGACTTAAAGTGTACGGTTTTAGAATGTTAAGGTATTTCTCTCATGTTCCAAAGGAAGGATGATTTGCCAAATTCATCTTTAAAAAACTAAACTAGTGAATACTTCCCCAAGTATTTTTCAGGAAATCAATTTTTAGTTTCAGGTAAGAGGTCCACAATGTGTTTAAGTACGAAGATGATACTTTTGTGTTAATAAAGTGGGTAATGCTTATACAGACAATTCAAGATGTATAAGATATTTTTTATTACAAGTAAGCCCATATTTCACTAATCAATATTTCAACTTAAGTAGTATTTGAAGTAATTTGGGGCAATAAACCCTTTGAAATTTTGAATACATTAAAATTTTCCAAATGGACCTATAGAATCTATAAGGAAGATAGCCGTTTAAACGTGATATATTTAGAATATTTAGCAAAACATTTTTGGCTATTTCAGTTTTGAGAACATTTCTATCATAAGCCATACACTTTGAGGTAAGACATACATTTACTTGAAGTGTCAAGGCTAGCACATTTCTGTCACACAGAAAATTCACAGCAAATGTATTTTGAATATAAGAATATATAAACCTTCAAAAGATATTTAGCATTTTTGCCAATACTTAGGTTTGCTTATACTAATTTAAATTAGATTTAATATTGTTATTGATCCTTATATGATTATGTAAAGGGTCATAATGTATATGCATATTGAATAATAAGGATACGATTAATTAAACATTAGAACAGAAATTTATAATATTCCTTAATTTTTATGGGAATATACATAATCTTCAAGAGAGATGATATACATACCTGACAGGTAATGTTCTGTCTCCTTTCCTCCTGTCCATTTCTCTTTGGGGAACAGGATACCAGCGGAAATTCAGTTTCCAGTTAAAACCCCCATAAGTCATGTCTGACCCAGCCATATATTCAAAAGTATCATCACTAATCACATCAATGATAGGGCAGACAACCGTTTTCCTGCAGAAAAATTAAAACCAATTTATAGACACAAGATAATTAAAATGTTACATTATCTTCTCCAAACTGATTACAGTTGATATGATGAAATGTAATTATTTTGTTACTTTAATATGCCTTAGCTTCATTTTATCCTATTAGTCCATGGAATTATTTCCTTTGAATATATATTCCTTACAGTTTACTTTATGCTATCATTTGAAATCTAATCAAATACACTAATTGACCTTCAAGTCTATTTCCAAATGCATTCTAAGTACTAACTTAGCAAGATGAGCAGGGTCTATTTTTCATCAAACCTCCACCCACAGCATGATTAGTAGAGCTGCTTTGAGATTAGGTATCATTTTAGCTATAACCCATTGAAAAGCAATAGCATTCAGGGAGGGAAGAAGGGATGATGGCAAATTAGATCTGGTAGTTTGCATTTCAAGTAGGGTACGTTAGTTTAGAGAGTTCTGAGGACATCTTCATGGAGAAAACACCTACTAGGAAAAACAAACAAAAATCAACAAACAGCAACAATAAAAATCATAATCTGTCAGTATAAGTAAATGTTTCCTATGAAAAATGATAGGGTCATGACAATTTCTGAGTAAAATGTCCTCAAATTGAGAGTTTACATTTATAATCTAGACAATAGCTTAAGATAGGGAAAGATAAGCAACTTCAATCTCTGGTGTTTTATCCTTTTTTTTCTTTTTCTTTTTGAGACAGAAAAAAAACATGAGCCACCGCACCTGGCCTATCCCATTTTTCTTAAAGTAAGAGCCAAAAGGTTGGTGTTCTTAATGGTAGCTTTCTATGGTAGAAAATTTCATTTGGGAAAATCATTAGGTACACTTTTAATCCATGTTGTGCCTTCTCTAATTCTTGATCTAACCCCTGTTCATTTATTTTATTATGGGATCAAACTTCTGTGATTTCCACAAGTAAACATTCAGGCCTACTCAAATCGTACTGGTTGTGGCTAATTCTGAAGACCAGAGTTGGTTTTTCATATTTGGTAGAAGGTAAATATACAAATAGGCTTCTGAATCATCTCCAGATATGAAAAGCACACAAATGTCCATTATTTACTTGTTTTGTAACACCAGTTTCACCAATACTCATTTTCAATTAAGGTCTTATATTCCACAAAATTGACCAGAGCTTCAACTTATCTGCAATCAACAAGACTCCTGTAGCCTTGGGAAAGCTTCTTGGTGACTCTGGACCCCAGAAAAATCAATATTTTTCTCACTTCCTTTATTAGATTTAATGATTTAACTTATGAGGAGAAGAAATTAGGTCTAAAAACCTTGAACAGACTATTAGGGTAGTTTTCAAATTTATAATCAGGACAAGATAATAGGGTTCATCATATGCAAATACAGTGTAATTATGTTGTTAGATCAAACAAAAAATAGCCTATGCATGACCATATTGAAATATTAAAAGCGCATTGAGTTGAATATGAAACACGTGTATAAAAAAAAACAGCATAATATACCAAAATTTGCCAGGAAATTCATTTTTAAGTTCATTTTACTTTGCCAGTCTTATTGTCCTGTGGGTACTGCACAATACACAAAGTGGAAAAATGTTATTAGCCATGTACAACACTCTATGGACTAAAAGGTTCCTACCGCTTTCTTCAACTGTTGTGCTTCATTTTACTGACAGCTTCCATCCATCTTCCTGGCAAGTACCAAATCCTGCTGTTTAAGTGATGTGGCTGTACTAGCTCAGACTAAGTAGTTCCTACCTGGAGTGTCTAATTAAAAATGTCAATTCTAGTAGGACTTTTCTACTATAGATGAAATGACTATGCAAGTAAGGTGTTATGTAATGTTTTGTTATTGTATCAGATAGCATTCAATGTTAGTTATCTTTATTAGGTATTTAGAAATTATACTCTCTTATCACCAGTGTTTATAAATAATTGCAAAAAGAATGCTTGTACTTCATCAACAACAGAAGGAACTGCAGGTATGTGTAAGGATTCTTAATTTCTATAAAGTGCTATTTATTCAATTTTCCAGATTTCAAAATGTGTATGTATAAGGTCACAATATTGTTGAAATAATTAAACATATTCTTATAGCTGTGCTCTTACGTTTTCTTTTTTTAATTATAATTATTTTCAGTGCTGTGTGTGTGCATGTATGTGTGTGCATTTTTAAGACATTCCAGGTGAATTTGAACTAGACTGACTAAGGGTGCTCGTGTAGTTTAGAGAACACTGGCAGAGAACTGGAAAGAGCTGAATTGTTCCCAGCACTTCCAATGACTGCAGCAAGTTAGATGTAGCTTCTTAGTTCCTCCCCATTATGAGTTATAGATAAGAATATCTACAGTACTTACCTCACAGGGTAGTTGTGAGAACACGAAAAGGTGCTTTGAAAATGTGCTTTATAACACAATTACACTATTTTAGATCATATTTAATTCCTTCACCTAAAAAGTAATTTAACATGTTTTCTATAACTTGAATTGTTTCACTATTTCTTAGTCAACTATCTATGTCCAGCATGAATACAGCAGTCTTATTTATCAAGCAAGTGGGAAAACCTGCTTTTAAGAAAAGCTATAAAATAATCCTTCTAAAAATACGAACTTGGAAGACAAATTCGGATGGACATCTGGAACTGTCCTAAGAGGTTCAGTCATAACCCAGGCAGACATAACACATAAATTCTTACCTGTCTTCCTTTATTCTTGCCAGCAAAGGCTCCAGCCATCCTAACGTGCATTCACAGTGTGCATCAAGAAAAGTTATGACCTGCCCTTTTGAAGCGGCTGCTCCTCGAAGACGGGCACGTATTAACCCAGAGCGTTCTTCCATCCTAATAATTTTTACTGGCACTTCTAAATTTTTCACGTAATTCTCTAATGTCAACTTGAGAAAATCTGTAACATGTAAAAGAATTTATAAGAAACAGTTTTGAAACTGTTTTAAGAAACAGCAGAGATACTACCAAGATGGAAATTCAACACACAGAAATGGTGGCCAATTCCTATCAGTACTTTTTGCCTTAGATATAAAATAATAGAGATTTCATTAGTTAACTAATGTCATGTATCCATAAAATCATATGAATGCTCAATAATATAATCAATTGAGTTGGAAAAAAAGATATATTATTGAAAGTCATTTTGGCTGAATTTTTAGGTTAGTAAGAACCATATAGAATCATGAGAGAAAGTGAAAGAATTAGTTATTTGCTTCTAGAGTTGGCATTAATGAGGTTATTGATGAGAATTTGATAGGCTATGGAACGGCTAGTAAAATTATAATGCAAATATAGATAATTGCCTAGTTATCTTTTTGGCCATAATAAAGCTTTCTAATACAAAAACAAAACAAAACAAAACAAAAAACAAACAAACAAAAAACCAAACAAAAAACAAACAAACAAAAAAACCAGCTTGTACCTCTTTCACTGGCATCATCTACCAAGATGACCTCAGAGAGTAGATAGTGTGGGGAACGATTTATCACACTGTAAACAGTTCTAAGGAGAGTGCTCCAAGCTTCATTATGAAACACAATGACTACACTTGTGTTTGGAAGTTCATCAGGGTAGACTTTTGTCTTACATCTGAAAAAGAGGAAAGAAGAGGGATCTTAATAAATGCATTTTTTATCCTGATTATTATAAAAAGAAATATCCATAATAACACAACTTCAAACTTGAAAGCCCCTTACTAAGGAACTGTTTTATGAATATCTAAAATCATTTCCCTTTTATAAGTGCTATGAGTAATCAGTTGGCATTCTGAAAATTAAATATGCATAATTACTAATATTTTTATTTTAACTCCTGCAGGGAACAAAGCAGCATGATTTCTACAAGTCTAAGAAAAACCTAAGAAATATAAAATAACATTCTGAAACTTTTGATAAAAGACCTGGTACAACAGGTACAAAGGAGTTCATTTAGTAAATATAATTTTATTCTTTGTTAATAAAAATGTATAACTCAAGAAGTCACAGGAACATAAACAGACACGGGCCCAAAGGATTTTGAAGTATGTAAAACAGATTTTTCTGTTCTAAATCTAGTCATGTATGCTTTTAATTCCGTTTGAGGATGCTATAAACAATATCTACTTCCAAGGAAAGATTTAGGTTTCCTTTAGATTCAGAATCTACTAAATGCATCTTGGCCTCTAAAATTTCCTTATGTTTTGGAGATCAGGAAACGTAATGGACTACCAGCACTTCTCAAACTTTAATATGCACAGTCATTGATATGGAAGTGCTGGGAAGGTAAGAGCGTGTTCCCTTTAAATGACATGGAAGCGGGGAAGGGAAGTGCTGGGTAGAGGAAGGCGTGGTCCCTGGCTAGGGCTCCACTCCGACAGACCCTGGGTGAGGATGGCATTTCCTGCCCAAATGTTGCATTTCCCAAGACCACCCTGGCCTGCCATCCTGTGCCTATAACCAGCCACCACCCGCCTCCATTTCAGCATCATCTGGAGATTCATTCAAATGCAGATTCTAATTCACTCGGTCTTGGGTGAAGTTTCTGCATTTCTGAAAAGCTCTGAGATGATTTAGAGGCTGCTGGTCCCTGGTGCACACTGATTAGTAAGGGGCTACACCATAATTACTACTAGTTTTAGAACTTAATATTTTGAAAAATGTTTTTGACACCCCCGACTCTAGAAGGCAGACACACAAGCTGCTGGACGTCCAGAGGAGCAGATCTGCCCAAGAAGACACAGACAGCTGGATGAAACAGACAGCTGGATGAAACAGACAGCTGGATGTGGAGAGGAGCACGTCAGCGGAGGAACGCACCGGCAGCTGGACATGGAGAGGGATGCACCGACAGGCATCCGCAAGTCAGCAGGCCATTGACCAGTGGGGGCAGGCAGAATTTGGCTGGGGCAGTCAGAGGAGACAGCACAGGACGCTGAGCTGCCTAACTCCAGGGGAAAACCTTCTCACTCCATCCCCTTTCTGGCCTCCCCCATCTGCTGAGAGCTACCCTTCACTCAATAAAACCTTGCACTCATTCTCCAAGTGTGATCCGACTCTTCCGTACACCAAGGCAAGAACCCCGGATACAGAAAGTCCTCTGTTCTTGTGACAAGGTAGTGACAAGGTAGAGGGTCTAATTGAGCTGGTTAACACGAGTTGCCTATAGACGGCAAAATTAAAAGAGCACACGGTAGCACGCTCCCACTGGGGTGGAGCTGTAAACATCCACCCCTAAACACTGCTGTGGGGTCGGAGCCCCACAACCTGCCCAGTCCGCCCATATGCTGCCCTAGAGATTTGAGCAGAGGGGCACTGAAGAAGCAAGCCACAGCCCCATCACACGCCCTGTGAGGGGGACAAGGCAACTTTTCCCATTTCAGCATCACCTGGAGATTCATTCAAATGCAGATTCTAATTCACTCGGTCTTGGGTGAAGTTTCTGCATTTCTGAAAAGCTCCGAGATGATTTAGAGGCTGCTGGTCCCTGGTGCACACTGATTAGTAAGGGGCTACACCATAATTATTACTAGTTTTAGAACTTAATATTTTGGAAAATGTTTTTGACTTTGCTTACAAATCCAGAGAAGTCCAGATTTTTCTTTTAAAGTAATCAGTCAAGGTACACTTGGATCAATGATATGTGTGGTACTGTAGGTGGTGAGCCCAAATTTAACAGGCAGGTGTTTGTTGCTCCCATTACCTTGTCAACATTCGGGCATTTCTGTCATGTCATTTTAAATCAATGTGATTGCAGATTATAAAAAAAATGTCAAAAGGTTTCTGAAGCAGTAACAGAAGTGTATTCACCTGAGGTTATTTTTCATGTAAAATATTCTGAAGAGCTAGATAATTAACACAATAATATAAACTGAATCAGATACCTCTTGCTACTTATGACTGGCTTAATGCATGACACAACACAGCATTGTTGAAATTAGTTTCCTTCACAAAGGAGTGAAAAAAAAAACACAATAAAATGTGGAAGATGAAGGCATATAATAAATATTTGATTGTGTGCCAGTTAAGATCTTCATTATCTTTTAAAACCATCTAACAGATCACCTAGTCAATAAAGTCTTCTGTAATATAGCCGGCTAAAAATGTCCATTTACCTCAATTACAACATTTTCCAGCATACATTTACTTGAAAAAGATTTATTAAGCATCTAGAATATAAAAGATACTGTGCATATAGGAAAATAAACATGTAAGGCATGGGAAAAGTATTTGGATTTATTACCATCTCTTTCCCTTCTGGAGGCAAGATTCAAAAAGTTTCCATGAACTTCATCATTTGACTTGTATCTCCAAGTAGTTCATCACTAAATAAACTTAGAAAGTCATCTTGGTAAATGAGAGGGTTTTCTCTACCATTTTCCTCAAATTTCCATTCTTCTGCCTCATTAAAAAACCTAATCACTTTCAGTATGCAAAGTCAAGAGTAAGGTAAAGATCATCATCCTCCTCGAAGAAGTATAGCTGGAAAAACAGGCTGAAAGCAGTCTAACAGCCAACAGCCAGTGGCTTCACTCAAGGATTACAGTCAATAAAGTCTACTCAGCATCATTTTTTTAAAAAAGATTTTTTCAATCAACATTTTTTGTATGTTACACTAAATGCCAACAATTAAATAAATGATTTAAAATGTCAAACTAAAAGCAGATATTTCAATCCAGCATCTTAAAGTATTTTTATCAAGCTTTACTTTGTGATTAAAAAAATTGACTCACAGGCCAGGCGCGGTAGCTCCCGCTTGTAATCCCAGCACTTTGGGAGGCCGAGACGGGCGAATCAAGAGGTCAGGAGATTGAGACCATTGGTTAACAAGGTGAAACCCCGTCTCTACTAAAAATACAAAAAAAAAAAAAAAAAAAAAAAATTAGCCCGGCCCGGTGGCAGGCGCCTGTAGTCCCAGCTACTCGGGAGGCTGATGCAGGAGAATGGCATGAACCCAGCAGGAGTTTGCAGTGAGCCGAGATCACACCACTGTACTCCAGCCTGGGCGATACGGCGAGACTCTTTCTCAAAACAAACAAACAAACAAACAAACATCCACTCACAAATGAATACAAAGTTAGTATTCATTTTATGTGTCAAAGTTATAGTGAATTAGTTTGCTGTTAATGCAGCTATCATGTTTACTTATGGAAAACTTCCACTGTCATTATTTAATATAGCATAAAAATAAAATAGGGCTAATATTTTAATTAATTCTTCCTCTTCTTCCTGTGTAAACAGTCATTCATCAAAGGGTAAAAAGATTCAGTTATGAGGGATGAATAAGTTCTGGAGATCTGATGCACAGCATGGTGACTATAATTAATAATACTGTATTGTATACTGTAGTTGAAATATACTAAGAGAAATGTTCTTAAGGTTTCTCACCACATCAAAAAAAAATCATAAAGATGTGAGGTGATAGACGTGTTAATTTGATCATTTCGCAATGTTTAGGTGTATCAAAACATCAAGTTGTATACTTTAAGTATACATAACTTTTAGTTGTCAAATATACCTCAATAAAGTTGAATAAAGTCATTCAGCAGACTCCTTCTGTACTATTAATCTAAAGTGATACAAATTAGTTATTTTCTACATAAGTTTATCCAGTTATCCTAAATGCATAGATTTATGTAAGCAAGAGTTATGATCTTCATTACTTCTGAGGAATCTGTGGTGCAATGAACTGGTATCATTGTCTGTATTTTACCAAAGTTAATGTTCCATCTATGGGAAGATATACTATGATTTTATCTACTGTTAGGAAAGAAAAAAATGTGGTCAAATTATAGCACAATGCTCTCTTATCACTAGAATCTATTTCATACTTAAATAGAGCTTACAGAAAAAGTTTTTAAATGAATTTGGACATAGATTTCTATCAATATTGTCATGCTTGACTTATGAATCAGCCACATCATTTTCCTGTGGATTTGAAGTTTCTTCCATGTATTTAAACTTTCTCCGGCTTTAAATAGTATTGCTTATCATATGAGGGGCAACCATTTAGCATATAACTCAAGAAGTCTAAAACAGTATCAACCTCTTGTGGATATCTACCTTGGTACTATAAAGTCCTGCTTTTTAAAGTTTAAGGTGCAAATGAATTATGTGGGGATCTTGTTAAAATGCAGATTCTGATTCAGTAGATCTGGTATGAACTCAGGATTCTACATTTATAACACCATCCTTGGTGGTGCCAACACTCCTGGTCCTTGGTTGACATGATAAGAAAAAAGCCATATAAATCAGTCAGCTGTTGATCAGCAGGCAAATGTAGGATTGTAATGATGCCTCCAGTAACAAATCTTTGTTTAATCATATGAAATTTAATTCTTGATGTTCTTTTGTATCTTGTTCTTTTCAGACAATAACTTTTGGTTCTAATAGTGAACCCTAATGTAATGTAATGTAATCTTTTTGAAAAAATAGTGAATGACAATTAAACTCAATACACACAGTACAAAGAGTACACATAATTTAGTTGAAACAACGACTATATGAACAGCTATGACCATGTTTGTAAAACTCATACTAATTTCAGACACTTAAAATGAAAAAACTGCACATCTTAGCACACACGAATACAATAATTTCTTTTGTTTAGATAAG